AGAGATGATGAACTGTTTGTTGAAAGTCTTTTCTATCACAGGGTATGTGGCTAAGCGTTCATCATTTATGAAGGTATAGATCTAACAATGGAACCTAGTTCCAGTAATGGTTGATGTTTGTTGCCGAAACACAGGATTGACACGAAGAAAACAAAGTTATATGCTAATGGTCTTTGCAGGTTCTTTGGAATAGTTTTCAATGTCTCTTGCTACATCATCAACACTGAAGCAATAGATCTTTGATGAACAAGACACCCTATGTTACACTTAGGGATGTTTGATGATAGAAGTTCCAAGGCGATTTATCCATAAACGCCTAGACTAGTAAAACATAAAGAGTCTACACTATCATGGTTAATGTGCAATAAGTGAACATATTTTGAGACTGACAAGTTTGTTCCCATCAAACAGGTTATAAAAGACGAACTCATGTGTTCTTGAAGAACTAACAGAGTTCCTAGTAAAGAAATATGTCACTAAGGATAACAGCAAGGGCTAGCTACATATGTTGAGTAAGGAACGTGAATGGAACAAGGCCAGGTTGGTTCTTAAAAGAAACAACCAATACAAAGGTATGTATTGTCTTTAAGGAACTTGTTGCGTGTGTAGCTAGACTTGAAGCAAATTGAATAATATTTGTTCTTTCTATGGGATTAGAGTTGTACCACATGGATGTCCCGTATGTCTTGATATGAATTTTTATAGACGTCTATGTGGAACATACTCTAGGATAGAATGCTATCCAAGTTCCTTCTTGAAAATTGAGTTTTAAAAAGTATCAATTTTTGTTTTCAAGATGAACTGATTTATTAGTAGTACTTGTTTACATTGATATATCTCTGGTACTACTAACGAGCCATTGTGAATTGGTTTTTGCTAATTTATGATAAGAAAATATATTTGTAAGCATTAACCACTGACAATGGAACTTGAGTTAGAAGTGGAAGTTCATATTAGATTCGAGATCATCAAGGAACATAACAACCACTTCAAGAACTCCAAGGTAAGCCATCATACTCAACCAATGCTTTAAAGTTATATTTTTACTGGTAAGAGACTAAATAAGATATAAGTTCCTTTTCACATGTCGGCATTAGATGAATTGAATTTATATATTTTTGGTATGAATGCAATATGTGAATTTGTGAATTGATTCTCTTATGGTCTTGTCTTGATTTGTCATATTCTTGTTTATTGCTCAGTGGAACAAGACTTGATGAAACATAACATGAGTATAAAGTATTTTTCCCATAAGTTATGTCAAGCTGGGGTTCCTATGCTATACTTAAAGTAAAGAATATGCGCTTATTGTTTATGTGTCACACTTAGTTCTTGTGTTGTAAAAGACATACTCACTTGCCTAAGAGTATTAGTGGTCTCATAATAGAACTATGGGTGCTGTCAAACACGAAGTTCCTAAGTTGCCAAAGGAACAATGGAAGAAACTTTGATGGAACAAGACAGGTAAGTTCCCAGACCGTTTGTAACTCACTTGTTTAAATTTCAGAGGGAACTAACCTATCTTTTAGCCAACTTTCAAGCATCTACGCCATATATCTTCGATCGCAACATTATTCTACAACTCTAAGTTGTGTGTCCGTGTTGCATATACTTTAATTGTCCCATATTTAGAAAATCGAAGATTCTTATTAACCCAATTCAATTTCCTCTTTCCGTTCACACACTTTTACTTCTTATTCTTAATTCCCATGTGCTCTAAGTTTGTTCACCATCTTTTTATGGTTCAATGAAATGTGAAAAAGGGTGATTACATGTTGAGGGGGAAGTTGAAGAAAAAGAAAGAAGTAAGTACTTGAAAAGGAAGAAGAATGGTAAGGGACTCAGGGGGAATAAGGTAGGAACCAAGAATTCAAAATGGTTCAGATCTGGTTGTGGAACTCAAGTGTATGAGTAAATATTCTCTTCATTAATTTAAAATGTGTTATACTAGGAAATCATGCAAAATTTGTGTAATGACACCCTTTAAAAAAAAAAAAAAAAAAAAAAAAGAGAAAGAAAAGGAAAAAGGGTGATCAAATATTTAATTTCCTAGATATCTATATATGAAGAATGTTGACTATGTTGATGTCATGTACTCGTATACTTGGTGAGCTAGTGAAGGAACAATAATAAACGATGAAGGAACTTGACTATGATGAAACTGAAATCTATTTAAGTTCCAGTATGGAGAATGTTCCTCAAAGAAGTTGGTGGTTAAGGTAAGGGAACTTGGTTATCAATTGGCAAGATGAATATGTGTTGTGTTCAATAGGAGATTCAAGAGTTTGAGATAAAGTACAATGTGGCGGTTCTCATCTCAAAAGGTTTAAACGAAGAGCACAAATTCCACTTCACGTTTCCTCTACTTATTTTGTTCCATATGCTTCTTTATATATCCTTTAAGCTTGCGCTTTAATTGGTCTATTCATGCAATCCATTTCTAACTTTTTAGCTCTGATCTTTACTTGAATTTTAACTTCTTATTTGTCAAGTTCAATTAAGGGTTTTGAAGTTGGGCCTTTGGATTGTGAGTTGGAAGTTAGTGTGGAAATGGTATCCGTGTTTGAAAAGTGAGTACCTTGAGGCTTTTAGGAACAACAAGTGTTTAACTAGTATATACTTACTTATTATATGGTGGTAGGTGTGACATATGACTTTAAGTGCATATAATTTACGAAAAACAAACGTGTGGAACAATACCCTTTTTGATAATGACAAAAGGGGGAAGAATATGTATGATGCTTATGGTATGCAGTAATTAAGTCTAAAGTTATTACATCATGATTGTTGAAAGTATTTATATATTGATAAATGATGTGTATTGCTAAGTTCCTAACTATTAAGTTCTTGTGTATGTTCTTAACTTGTTTAAATGTTATTTCCTTGAAAAACTAAGGGGGAATAAATGTACAACGATTATCCTTTAATATGTGATGAGCATCAATAGTTTGTCATCATCAAAAAGGGGGAAATTGTTGAGCAATTAGGTTTTGATGATTATAAACTAATGATGATTATCTATCTAACGTGTATGTTAAGTTGTGCATAGAAAAAGCAAATTATGCTTGGAACAGGATACAAGGAACCTGAGTAATGACAGGTATATATGTAAGGAACTTGAGCAATATAGGATAAGCAATAGAGGAACAAGAACAACGATAAGTGTTATGGTTGATAAGCATGATGATGGCTAAGGGACCATGAAGGTAACTATGTAAACATGTGTTTACATATGTTAGCTTCATAAGGTAAGTATCCTATACATATATAGGTTATGTATGTGTAGGAGTCTTTTAATTTAGTTTAGTTTTCTTTATTGTTTTTATAAATAAAAAACTAATCTTCTGTTTTACTTTGTTATTCTCAGAAGTTTGCTCAGTTCGTCATCATCAAAAAGGGACAACTTGTTGATCCTTATGAGGTTTTGATGATGATGTTAAGAATTGAGCAAACTTCCATTTAATAAGGATTTTCTAGTGTTGTGATGTTTGCAGGTTCAGTAAGCGTTGAGGGCTGAAGTAGGAATTGAAACAGAGGAACTTTAGAGGATCCATGAGGATACAAGTAAATTTAGAAGAAGAGTTCCAGAAATGGAACTTCCAGAAGTTTCTTAACAGGAACTTCAAAACGGGTTGTAACGACCTGGTTTCGGTGTAATGCTGGGGAAAACCCTAAGATCCAGAATATATCAAGACTACAGGATTCCAGAACAAGAGTTTCAGAGAAGCAACATGAAGACAGAGAAATAGAAGTATATTGCTCTAGGATTCATGTAAGTATGTTGGACATAAAAGTCGGTCTGGAACAAGTCTATATAGAACCAAGGTGAATTCCAAACAGTCAATGAAATTAGAGTAACTGACTTGTCAGGAACTCAGAGACTGTCAGAGTTCAGGAACCTAATAGGAACTTAAGTATGAACGTCGTTAAAAGTCGGTTTTAATGATATATATATTTACCTTATACGTGCATATCTTTTAGGGATTTGGTTTTACTGAATAAAGATATTTATCTTCTAATAAATCCCTTTTGGAAAAAGATAAGATTGTTTAAAAAGTATTTTAAACAAAAAGATAAGTTTTGAATAAAATCTGATTTTATGCTAAGTTTATCTTATTATTATTGACAGTTTTTATTCTTAACAAAAAGATATATTTTCGGAAAACTGATTTTTAGAAAATATCTTTTAAACTTATCTTTTCAGAAAATCTATCTTTTTCAAGATGAAATGAATAATTCGAGTGTACTATAAATATGCTCATATGCATTCATTCAAAGTTGAGGCTGACGAAGTGTAGTGGTCGTGCTTAATGGTTTTATCCTTCACCACGAAGCTAAGTCAGTCCTCCTGGTCAAAGTTCCTATCAGGTTTTTGGTTACAGTACGTCTAGTGAGTTCCAGACAGATCTTGAGTGTTCAACATATTAGTTTTATCTCTTTATTCATAGATATGTATTTAGGGATATTCGATGAGATCTTGTAATGGGAAAAAGGGTTTTGAGTGTTTTGTATTTTGGGGTGAGATTGTGAATTCTCTTAAATTCACGCTTGTGTATGAGTTTGAAATCTGGTAAAATTCGAGTGGTAGCTGTGAGTGCACAGTGAGTGAAAGGAACCTGAGAAGTGTCTTGGGTCACCTAGGAAGTTTCCTGGGTAAAGGGAGAAAAAGGGTCCTGAGAAGTGTCTTAGGTCTGGTAGGAAGTGTCCTATCATAGAGTCAAGTGTCCGTGGTGGAACTTGCAAAGCAAAGGTCTGTGTAATAGGTTGTACTAGGAGAGTTGCCTATTATAGTGGAATTTGTTTATAAGTCCCAATAGGGCCGAGGTTTTACTTCCAGTTAGGCACTGGATGGTTTCCTCGTAAAACTTGCTTTGTGCTTTAAGTTCCTTTACGTTTTGTTTTTAATTTCCGCATAAGTTTCGCGATTGGAACCTACTACCATTCACCCCCCCCCCCTCTTGTAGTAGTTCATCCGAAATAACATTATCTTTTTTCTTCAGATAATGCCGAGATGGTGAAAAGGGTGGTGGACATGAGATCAGATACAGTTACCAAGCCAACCGAAGCAATGCGTGTAGCAATGGCAAATGCTGAGGTTGATGATGATGTATTGGGTAATGATCCAACTGCTCTCCGCCTCGAAACAGAGATGGCAAGAATCATGGGCAAAGAGGCAGCGCTATTTGTTCCTTCTGGGACTATGGGTAATCTCATTAGTGTACTTGTGCATTGTGATGTTAGGGGAAGTGAAGTCATTCTTGGAGATATCTCTCATATACACATTTATGAGAATGGTGGTATTTCAACTCTCGGTGGGGTCCATCCGAGAACGGTTAAGAATAACAAGGATGGGACTATGGATTTGGATTTGGTTGAGGCTGCCATCAGAGATCCTAAAGGAGAGCTTGTGTATCCCATCACTAGACTTATTTGTATTGAAAACTCGCATGCAAAGTAAGTATTCTTCTTTGAACAATTGCTATGCTTTTTTATTTGCATAGAATGGGTGTTCTAGTTTTGTTATAGATTTTTTCTGTTCTATTTTTGTTATAGATTTTTTCTGTTCTAGTTTTGCTATAGATTTTTTCTTGTGATAAAAGGAATTCTGAAACCTGAACTAGGGAAAAGTGCTTGCTTTACTTTGTTAGAACAGGAATGGGCTGGATTGTGCGTAGTTGTTACACTACAGAATTACAGTATGTATAAACTTGTATCCTTCAATCTTCCCTGACTTTATCCGACATTTCTTACGATAAGTTTGAATGACAAAGGTGGAGGGAAGGGGAAGGGAGAGAAGAAGAGAAAAGGAAGGAACGACCAGCATTTTTCTTCCAATTCCTTCCAGTATTATAGTTTTACATCCCTTGAAATGTAAATTCATACAAGTGAACCTTGCTTCTCTTGCTAGCTGCAATAGCAGCCTATACTCTTTTCTATGTTTCCAGGAAATGACCTATCTTCTAAGGCAACTGTTACTGGATGTTCAATCTAGTAAATTATGTCCGTTAATTAGAGAAGTAGTGTTTTTTTATAATGCAGGTGGCTGCTTGGTAAATTGATAACTAGTGTTCAGTAGTCTACTACTCCTTCCCTCTAACTTCTGTAACAACCAATAACCATTATTGATGCTGCATCGCAGCTCTGGTGGTCGATGCCTGTCTGTAGAGTACACAGACAAGATTGGAGAGTTGGCAAAGAAGCATGGTTTGAAGCTTCATATAGATGGGGCCCGAATCTTCAATGCTGCAACAGTAAGTGGAAACTTCTAGAACTTAATTTTGAATCATGAAATCATGGCTATACTTAATGTCCTCTCGACCAAATTAAACTGTGATTTCATTCCAAGAAATTAAGCATTTATAATAGAGTAGTAAATAGGACATAGGAGACGGTAAGCTACAGCGAAACGAAAAAGATCAAATTATAGAAAGGGTAATGCATACTCAATAGTAATTGTACCTAGTATTGTTTTCTGATGGCAAAAGTGGAGTATGTCATCTGCTTTCTGTAGGAATACTGACATATGGCTAATTGTGTGTACTATCAAGGTTGTTTTGCTATAAAATATTGAATGATAACGGCTCAGTAATGAGTAAAATTTGGGATCGAATGCTTACCAAAATTTATCAACTATTACTGTCTTACCAACAGCAAAATTGTTAGTGTTTCATTCTTCATTTGATCTTTAGTTATATCAAGAATTATCGATCGAAGTTGCTGGTTGACGCCCATTCTAGTATTACTGTAATAATGATTTTTAGTTGCATATGTTGCCGGACTAAATAATTCCATATACATTGGTTGGCAGGCACTTGGGGTTCCTGTTGATAGACTGGTGCAAGCAGCTGACTCAGTTTCGGTAATTATGACCTTGTCCAAAGAGGCACTCTTAGTCAAAGAATTTATTTTAAATAAATACGGAGTGAATTTTAAGCATCACTCCAAAAGCAAAATTTTCAAGGGGAATACCAACTTTGGCCTTTTGTAATTTGCTGGACAACTTGAACCAGCATTCTGCCAAACTTATGCCTATTATTATCTTCCTTTAAAACATTTTCTACATGTTTTCCTTACATTTTTTTCATGATACACTGCGCGACTTCAGGTATGCCTGTCAAAAGGTCTTGGAGCGCCTGTAGGAACTGTGATTGTAGGATCAAAAGGCTTTATATCAAAGGTACTGCTTAAGCTTCTAACCGCATGCATATTTTTTTGCCTTTATATATCAACTCTAATTAGATTTGGCCTTCTCTACATTTAAATGATTAGGCAAAGATAATGAGGAAAGCTTTAGGTGGTGGGATGAGACAGGTTGGTATATTGTGTGCTGCTGCCTTGGTTGCATTGCAGGACAATGTACGAAAGCTTGAGGATGACCATAAGAACACTAAGCTATTAGCAGGTTATTAATCTTACCTCTGGAACTGTTTCCTTATCTGGCCTACATTCATGCTTCAGAGTGCCTGCAAATTTTCCCTTGTTTGATATAGTTTGTGGTTTTACATTGTCTGACAGATGGATTGAACAAGATTACAGGGCTAAAAGTTGATATTAGTTCAGTTGAGACGAATATTGTGAGTAACAATCTTTTCACCTACCCCCTTCCCCTAGTCTGCAGCATAACTTATAGCATTGGGTTTTGTTGATCCACATTATACTGAATTGAACTCATTGCAATGAACAATGGTTATACTTAAAACCCAAAACCTCTGACTACTGGATTTATATATGACCCAAGTCATATAGAGACTAGAGTGTCATGATTATCACGAAGCCATGAAGATAATTTGATTCAACTAAATGCTATTCATTTCTCAAAGAATTTGTCAATGCGCTCAAAAGATAAAAACATCAATCTTACTGTTCCTGCTTTCCCTTTTCCATCAGGTGTTTGTCAATTTATCTGAGAATTTGAACACAACTGCACCAAAACTTTGCAAGCGCTTGGAAGAGCATGGTGTATTGGTCATGCTAGAAAACAAATTCAGGTGATTATCTCCATTCTTCTAGACATCATCAAGGTTTGCTGACATGCATTTCTCTTCGTTTCTGGTAGTGACGTATATCTACACTCTTTTCAGATTTAGGATTGTTATTCACCATCAAATCACAACAAGTGATGTGCAATACGCTTTGTCATGCATTAAGGTAATATTAGACTTGAGACCATTCTTTGACAGTTTCTACCTAATTTTCTTTTTATCTTACTCTTAGTAAATTTGTTAGACAATTAGCAGAAATCCAAGTACGTTTTTTTTGCTCACGTGCTCATAAGGTACAATTACATGGGCAAAGAAATATCGGTATTTAAGGTACAATTAGTTGAAAAATGCGAATATAGCATTTTGTGGAACCATTAACATTCATATTGTGAAATTAACATAGGTTAAGGCTTTTAAGGGTGACTATTTTCTCCAAACAAATTGTAGCTCATAATTTTATTAAACAAATGTTAAAATTCAGAATATTTTTTTAAGTCAGGTAGTACTTTGGATTAATATTTGTCAATGTTTCCTGTTATTTCTTGTTCTCTTCAAAGAAACATGTTCTATCAATATTTGATTTAAGAATTTTCATCTAATTGAACATGACAGCAAGCAGTAACTGGAGCATCAATTGAACACATTGAGGAGTGAGAGACGTTGAATTGCACTTCAGTACTTACTGATTCGGTGATTGATCTGTAGGCTGTTAAATCTTGACTCTTTATGATCATTCAAGAAGCTTATCACGTTTAATAAAATTCTGTGAACTATAAATATTATCCTATCTTACATTTTGTAAGTTGTAAAGCAAGTACTCTTTAATTTTCCATCTATATGCTTCAACATTTTTATGATTTATATGGTACTTCTGCATGATGATGCCGTTGAAAACATACAGGATTATTTAACATATTGGCGATATATTAACAATAGATAAAATCACCCATTTACATCTACCAGTTGGGGTATTGATAATAATTGGTAGATGTCAACTAACTTAGTTGGTTAAAATCTTAAATGGTGAACAAGACTTGAGATTGAATTTTGTCCTTTAGTGTCTCGGTTTTCTCCGCACCAAAAAAGATAAAAATAAATGTAAACTTTACTAGGCATTTGGTATGAGGGATAGGGGGTGTTTGATTTGCATTATTTTGGAATAAGGTTTGTAATAGGTATTAACTATTAAGAGTCGGACTTTAACCGTGCTAGCGGAAGCGCAATTAGTCGAGAAATTGACAAAGTATAAACGCCAAGAGAAAAGCTATTAAGAAAATAACACACAACGAGTGCACCTGAAAAATAAACCCACTATATTTAAATTAGGGTAAAGGACCCTAATTTATTAGGGTGAGAAATATTACAATATAAATCTCACAAATAAGAAACCCACTAGGGAGTATTAAAAAGGAAATTGACAAAGTATAAGTTCGTCCTGTACAAGCTTCAACTTAGAAAATATCAACTTTGTGACCAGTTTGTAATTCGTGTTACAAAAATCAATAGGTCTAAATTGAGATAAATAAACTGGTTTTTTAATTTTGGGAGTTAAAGAAATGTAAGATTTATTAACGAAAAAAACCTCGTATTTAATTAAATAAAAATGAAATTTAAAACTAATGATTAATTAATTTATTTATTTATTTATTTTACTATTGACCAATATTATTGTTTTCCATCATTTTTAGTTACAAAAACAATTTAATATTCCCTTCGTTTCGTATTAATCCCAACACTTTTCTTTTATATCTGTTTCAAATTAATTACAACATTTCTATATTTGGAAATGACCTACCATTATTTTATAATTTCTCTCTCAGTCTCTCTGACTAAACCCACTATCACAAATATTCTATTATTTCTCTTTCCAACCAACCCCACTTATATTATTTTTTTATTATTATTTTTCTCTCTTACCAACAATACTTTATTTTATAAAAAAATTTATTGGTAGTAAATTTTCTTAAATTTTGTGAATACTCTAGTATTGCGATTGATATAAAACAGAGGGAGTAGTAGGATGTTGAAAAATATGCGGACAAACTAGCCATAAGGGGTTTCCCTCGTTTACACGCTTATTTTTCATTTTTCACTAGTTAAGGAATTTAGAGATTTCTTAAAATCCATGATTGAGAAGTACAAATGTGCCTCGTTTACTCTTTAATTTTATCCATCTCTATTTCATTCCCGATTTTACTCTTATCGTTCCAAACATTTTGATTTTCATGCTAATGTTGATGTTGATGATGATGACCCCAAATTAAATCTCAAATTTGTTCGACAACAATCCAAATTAGGGTTTACTAATGTTGAAACCCCCCTAATATTGTCACCTTTAAACTTTAATACCCTCATTAACGGCTTCGTTCATACTCATCAATTAGACAAAGCCGTTCATTTGCTGGATAAAATTCTTAGGCTTGGCTTCCTACCTGATAAGGTCACCTATGGTTCTATGTTCAGAGGTCTCTGTAGGTCCGGTGTTTATGCCGGTGCTCTCAAACTCTTGAGAAATATGGAGTTTTATGGCCATTTTATGCCTGTTGTTGTCGTATACAACACCATCATTGATAGTCTCTATAAAGACCAGTTATTGCCTCAGGCTCTCCACCTTTTCAAGGAGATGAAAGTCAAGGGAATTTCCCCTGATGTTGTCACCTAAAATACCTTAATTCGAGGTATGTGCACTTTGGGGCAACAGAAAGAGGCTCGAGAAATGCTGACTGAGATGTTAAGGAACAACATAACTCCTACCACTGAGACCTACAGCATGTTGATTGATATGTATTGTAAAGATGGCAAGGTTGGTGAAGCACGGGACATTTTTGAATACATGACTGGGATAGGATTGGTTCCCAATATCATCACTTACACTGCATTGTTAGATGAATATTGTTTACGTGGTGAGATGGATGAGGCTGAAAAGCTTATGGATTTGATTGTTGAAAATGGTTGCAAACCTAATGTAGTTACTTACAACAGCTTAATCAATGGCTATTGCAAGTCTAAAAGGATTGACAAAGCTCTTTGTCTGCTCCAAGAGATGCATTTTAACAGATTAACCCCTAGTGTTATCACATACAACATTCTTATAGATGCCTTGTGCAAAGACAGTCAGCTCAAGCGTGCACACCAGTTTTTAAAGGAAATGGAAGCTCATGGACTAAAGCCAGATGTAGTCACTTTGAACTCATTGCTTGATGGCATGTGTAAGAATGCACAAATTGACGAGGCAATTGCAACAATGAAGGAAATGGGGAATACTGGAGTGGTCCCTAATATTGTTACATATAGTATCGTAATGGATAGTTTGTGTGAAGCTAATCGCCTTAGAGAAGCGGTGGACATCTTTTCCTTTCTCACAACTACAGGGGTGCATGATGTGCGTGCTTACACTATAATGATAAAAGGGTTTTGTAAAGAAGGATTGCTAGCAAAAGCCAATGAATTATTGAAGAATATGGAGGACAATGGATTCTTTCCAGATGAATGGACTTTCAATACAATTATTAGATGGTTTATAGATGGAAAGGATGTTATGTGAGCTTTAGAGCTTATCAGCTTAATGAGAAACAAAGAGTTTGCTACTGATAATCACACTATATTGTCATTTGTGAGCTTACTTAATGATCCAAATATTGGTGATGAAGACAAGGAATTACTGAAAAAGTTTTTAGAAAACTGAGCGAGCGATAATTAGGAAAAGTGGAAGGAGCAATGACTAAAACATATAAACAGTAAGTCAATGTGTAACTTTTGATTGATTGTAGGAAAAAGCATTAACATTTGTGATTTGGAACATTTGATATTACTTCTTTTTGGGCTTGCTTTTACTTGAATGGTGCTCATGGAAGCAGATGTGGGTTGACCTATTGTATTAATTTGTGTGTGTTTACTTGGTATCTGCCAACGAGTTGCATTTGTTTTCTTATTAGCCTTTGAATATTAAGATGTAGGGCTCAAGTTTAGCTATATCTTACTATCTAAACCATGATGAGTAATCATATTTGACATAATGGAAGAGTATAGTTAGCTGCTAGAATTTGTCTTGGACTCTTTAGGTGCTTGGAGGTGATTGTGTGTTACTAGCAATACGATCTATAGCAGCAAGATTTGTTTTTAGTACTTCTTTGAGCCAAGGATCGGCGATTCCAATGGCAGTGACATGCATCTGCTATCCCTATGTCAGATAGCTAGGATAAAATAGCAGTCCCCAAGCCTCCAATGCCCAGGCTAGGTTTATGTACTCACTGTGCAGCACAATTATTGACATACTCCGTGTTCAATCAGGTAATTTTACTTTTTGATCCTTTTTTTTATTTATCATTTGACTTTTTGCATTTCATTATTGCTTGTTTATTTGATCGGATTGGATTGTTGTTTATTTCTATCAATTGTTTTTTTGTTTAATGCTGCATTTTTTTCATCTTTCTTTTCAATTCTTTGTTTACGTAGTATTTAAGAATTGGTGATTGCCGTTAGTTAAAATTAAGTGTTGTGAGTGATTAGGGTTTTTTTTTACAGAATTAGTTGAAGTAGTGTAATTGTTAGGCTGCTTTCTGTTATTCTCAAAAAGTTACCAAACCCCAAAGAAATTGAAAAAAGGAAAAAGAAAAACAAAAATCACATTTGAACCCAAATCAATAGGCTAAAGTGGTAGGAGTACTTGACGACTTACTTTAATTCTTTATAATGCTTATATAATTATATTCATTTCGATTCTGCAGTCAATTGGTAATGTCAGCTTAATTGGTTGATTTAGGGATGATATGACTGCTATATGTGGTTTAATTGAAGTTGAATTGGGGAAATGTGGACTATATTTTGGGAATGCATTAAACACTGATTTCCAAGTTTAACTTATTTTCTATTTGCCCACCTCCAGTAATCGATAAAGTTGATTCTGTTTGTGTGTGTATTTGTTTTCTGCTGTTTGAGTGAAGATATTCTTGAAACTTTTTTGTTGAATTTTTTTGTATTTCTTTGATTTAGAAATTGATTATGTTTGTAATTTTTTAATATATATTTAATTGAGAATACCCGTATGATTTATAAGATTAGAATTCATGCTCTATGAATCTATCATTACAATAGGAAACATCTTTCTTGGAAACATCTTATAACTTGCTTCTATCTTTCCCCAACTCTATCTTGGTTTTATGCCACCATCTATTAGATGTATTCTTAGTGTTGAAAGGGAGGGGGATAGAGTGGAGAAAGGGTTATTAGCGACTTCGACCACTCACAAATATCAAATTAAATGTTCAGCTACACAAATCCTAAACATCGTACTAAAACAACACTAGCTATCATTTAGTCTAGCACACCAATATAGGTGCTTATTTAGCCACTACAAATCAGTAACTTTTGATTTGCAATCGTTATTACATATTTTACTTAGATAATAACTTTTCGAGATTAATTAGATTAGATTGAAGGGGCACGCGCTCCCACAACTAGTTCTGAAAAACATTAAAAGAAAGGGAAGGGAATATGTTAATAGACTAATATAGGCATAGAGCATGTGCTATTAAAATTTTCTCTTTGTTTTATGAGTAACTGGTAATTTATGCACGCCAACATCTTCATATTATTTAATCAATGATGATAAGACGTAAAAACTTTCATGGTCTATTACTTACTAAATATTTTTAAATACCTAAATCATTTTTTTTAATTTTGTTTTTGATTAAAAATAATATAGGGAATTCAATAATTTTTGGCATTTCTATTTCGCTACCGGATTTCCACTCCTAATTTAGTCCTTTGTATAATAGAAATACAATTAAGATCAAAATAAACCTCATCAAATTATAAGTAAACCTGATCATTATATGTAAGCTTAAAAATTACTTCTTTTGTCTCATAATATAGTTCATGTTTGTGTTTTTTCACGGTACTTAAGAAATAGGTGAAGAAAGTAGATGAAGTACATTAATAAAAGTGAAAGCACAATTATAGACAAAAGTGAGAGAGAGAAAGTGGAAAAAAGTACAAGGCATGTGCAAATTTAAGGGTAATTTAGGAAATACAATGAATGAAATTAAAAAAGTGAGGGTATGATGGTCTTTACATATTATTCAAAAATAGAAACAGGAACAATATTTTAGATCTCCAAAATAGAAAAACAAGAATTATATTATGGAACAGAGGGAGTAGAAATAATATGGAACATTAAAAAAAAACAATTATCTTTTTGTCCCATTGTCTTTCCAAATTTTTGTCAAGGTTTATAAATCATTATTTTTGTTTTAGGTCTTTTTGACTTTTACCACAAAAAAAAAAACACCAAATTATTTTTACCACCAAACTTTAAAAAGTTTTATTTTACCACTAACTATAAATCAAAATTTTTTTTGCACCCCATATAATTAGAATACGCAGTGTAAAGGTTAGAGGAGAAGCAATTATCTTTGCAATAGTTTTTAGGAGCAAGGGTATAAAGGACATTTGGAACACCATCAGCTACCCTTTCTTTCAAAATGCTACTCAAAGCAACGTCTTAGAAACAGCAAAATTAGCTACTTCCTCCGTCTCTAAATTAGTGGCTTATTTCTAATATTTATTACTCACATACTAAAGAGAAATAGGCCACTAATTTAGGGACGGAGGGAGTATTTTATTTTTTGGGTTTTTCTAAGCTATACCCCTCAAGTTATTGAATTTTCAGCTATACCCATGCTTTTTCAAAGTTATAAGATGTGCCCTCCACCTCATATTATTTTATCAACAATAACCTTTGACAGCCACAATAGTTAATCATTAGAGAATGTTAAGTGGCGTTACTAAAACCGTTTAATTAAAAATATAAAAACATAAATAAAATAAAAAATAAAATAAAAAAAAATCAAAATTTCCCGGCCACCTTCCCCCCTCCCCCAAACCCTAACCCCTCTCCTAAACTCGCCGGAAAACCGACCGGCACTCCACCTTAACCACCTAAATCGGCCGACTGGTACTCTACCTCCCCATCAGACCCACCTCCGACCCCCTCCCTTTCCCCTAACCCCCGCCACATCCACCTTCTTTCTTGAAACCCCAACCACCCAGCCGACAGCGCTCCTCCTTCCTTCCCCCACTTGAAACAACCCCCAACTCCCTTTCCCACACCCCGAAACGGCGAGGGAGGGTCGTTTCGAGGTGGGGGGAAGGGATTGTTGGTTCTTTCGTGGTGGTTTAACGAAGGAATGAGGGTGGTCGATTTTTTGGGCTGGGTTGCGTCACGTGGTTGTGTTCGTGGAGTGTTAGGAAGGAAAGAGGGCGAGGGGGAAAGGGCGGGGGCTCGTCGGCGGGAGGAATTGTCTGGGCGAGAGTGGGCAGCCGGTTGCCGGCAGCGACGATGTCGGCTGATGGGTTGGGTTGTGGTGGTGGGAGGGGTGGTTGGTTTTTTTTTCTAATTAATTCTTAATTAAGTTTTAATTATTTTATTTTCTGATTTTTTAATTTTTTTTTAAAGTGTTAGATCAATTAGAACAGGACACGTGTCAAATTACTAACGCCACTTAACATTCGTTAACGGATATGACTGTGATATTGTTGATAAAATAACTTATAATTTTGAAAAAGCATGGATTCAATAACTTTGGGGCACAGCTTAAAAAAAAAAAAAAAAAAAACTTTTCCAAAACGCTCATTACCAAACGCAGAGCCAACACTAGCAGGTATTCTCGTCTGAGAAGAGAGAGTCACTGTGAGAAGTGAGAGTGAGACGATGATGATGAGGAAAGCTTTGCTTTCACTTGGTTCTGCTTCTTCCCCATTTTTAGGTAATCTTCTTCGTCTTCCTTCTTTTTCCCCTCTTTCCTCTTGCATGCCTTTTATTATTTCTCCTCTTCCTTTTCTATTTCATTCACGATCTTACTCTTATCGTTTCAATTATTTTAATGTTGATGTTGATTTTGATTTTTATGACCCGAAATTGTTCCTTAAATTTGTAAGACAACAATCCAAATTAGGGTTTACTGATGTTGAAACCCCATTTTCTCTTTTCGATCATATGAAATTGATTAGCCCTCTTCCTGGTATTATCGATTTCAATATGCTTTTTTCAACCATTTGTAAGATTAAACCCCACCCACCTTTCTCCACTGTCATTTCTCTCTATAGGCAGCTCCATTTCCTAGGTGTTCGTCCAGATGATTATTCCCTTAACATCCTCGCTAATTGCTACTGTCGTTTGAACTTTGTTGATTTTGGGTTTTCTGTTCTCGCCAACACTATTAAACTTGGTTTTAAACCTAATATTGTCTCCTTTAATACCCTCATTAACGGCTTCGTTCATACTCATCAATTAGACAAAGCCGTTCATCTGCTGGATAAAATTCTTAGGCTTGGCTTCCTACCTGATAAGGTCACCTATGGTTCTATGTTCAAAGGTCTCCGTAGGTCCGGTGATAATGCCGGTGCTCTCAAGCTCCTTAGAAATATGGAGTCTTATGGCCATTTTATGCCTAATGTTGTCATTTATCACACCATCATTGATGGTCTCCTTAAAGACCAGTTATTGCCTCAGGCTCTCCGCCTTTTCAAGGAGATGAAAGTCAAGGGAATTTCCCCTAATGTTGACACCTACTACACTTTGATTGACATGTATTGTAAAGAAGGCAAGGTTGGTGAAGCACGGGACATTTTTATGAACATGACTAACACAGGTTTGGTTCCCGATATCATCACTTACAATACTTTGTTAGACGGATATTATTCACACGGTGAGATGGATGAGGCAGAAAAGCTTATGCATTTGATGGTAAAAGATGGTTGCAAACCGGATGTTATTACTTTCAGCATTTTAATCATTGGCTATTGTAAAGGAGGAATGGTTGATGAAGCACTGGCCATATTTGAATCCATGATAAGTCAAGGTCAGATTCCCGATATTATTTCTTACAATGTTTTATTGGACGGATATTGTTTACGTGGGCAGATGGATGAGGCAGAAAATCTAGTGGCTTTGATGATAAAACATGGCTGCAAATCTAACATAATTACTTTCAACACCTTGATCAAAGGATATTGCAAGTGTAAAAATATTATTGCATACAATATTATTTCAAAGACTATGTAGATCCTTATCAAAATGTAGAACCAACGTCCTTCAGGACTTCTTTCAAAAAAAGATGTAGAACCAACACATCTTGCTGCTGTGTTTACTTTCTTCAAGTTTTCTATATTGCATTTCTTTTTTTAACTTCACAGATAGTTCTTTATGTTAGCTAACCGCATATCATTATGGGACTAAAACTTTTGTCTTAATTGAAGTCATTAAAAATCAACTTAAAGACAATAAATAGAAATCAAAACTATCACTCAAGGACCAAGGTTTCAAGGGGAAATGGAGAACCGTTGGAGCCAATTAATTTTGGAGGGTAACCAATATCCCAAACAAGCAACATACCAAATGGCTAACTTACTCCTCTTATCAAATATAATTTCAATTCATTTCCTATTAAGCGGCTAAACCAAACTTAACCATACAATTCTTCAGGAAACTAAATTTCAAAAAACACCACAAAAATCTGAACTACTCCTCAACCCATAAAACTAATTTCATTAGACCAACTTCTCGGTGGCTCACGTCACTTATCACAGTCCTCGCACATTGATGAAAAATTTGACGCCTAAGTGTGTTCGCTTAGTGACTAAGTGCCTATTCTGTGCAACAGAATGTCTTACCACTGTTCTCATTTGACCTTGCCACTTCAAGAACATAACATTAAACTAATAGCTCAATATATCACAAGAGATAAACTGTCCAAGTAACCCAGCCATTTGCATAACAAGGGACATCTTTGATACATATAAAAAAAATCCTCCTTAAAAAGATACGAGTACTTAAGAAAAATATTTAAATTGAAAGAATAGATGAGAAAAAAAAAAAAAAAAAGGGAAAGAAAAAGACCAAACGACATCTTACAGCGAAGACCCAAAAGAATTGCCAAATGTTCTAACACTACCATTTCCTGGTTTCAACTAATCACCTGTCAGCAAATGACCGCTCCTCTTCCCCAAAGAGGCCAGCGGGATCCGATATGGAGCCAACAAAATAAGCACTGCTTGTTATCAGATAAAATCTTCGAGGCATCTTATATTTAAGGTATACATCAATAACCCAGCTTAGGCATCCGTGACTGATGAAGATGAGTGTCGTTAACTAGGCCAACTCCATTAAATTGACAATGCTCCCATCCGATGGCCTGCTTTATGAAAGAACTCGCATCTTGTGGTGAAGCAACTGCCATAGAGACATAATAAATCATGAGATACAAATTAAATATAGTAAGACATAATATAGCAATATTACAAAACCAACTATTTCAAGCATGCTTAGGTTTATACTTTTGTTACTAGTTCTCTCCCCTCGTAAGAGTGATATAGTAAAACAAAACCAAATTACATCACAACCTTAAGAAAAGCCACTCTTTGCAGTCCGTCTACCATCATAATTGAGCAATCAGCTGTATCATTCATGCGATCAAATACATGTATATACAAAATTTAACCCAAATAATTGAAAGGTAACATTACCATATCCAACTCAAAAGGGAGCCTCAAGAGATTCATCCCATACTTCTGCACTTCCATTAGAAGCATCTTCAACATCTTCTTCCATGGAAAGTCTAATATACTCTCTATGTGCAAACCGATCCCAATCTGTCAAGGTTGGATTCTCCCTCTCCTGTTTAAAACATACAAGTATTTACATGTCTAGTGAGATAAAAAAAGCACAGAAGCTACCATGATATCTAACTCATATCCACAATTGTAGAAAAGCAATTGATCATTTGACGTACCTGGCGAATAAGGAACGGGTCACGAGTTTCAAAGGCCATAAACTTATTTAGATTAAAAAGTAGATTAAACACACTTCCTGAAAGTTTACTTCCTTTCAGATCACGAATGGTGAAATAACTCTCGTTCTGCAAATAAAATATGGAATACATCACATATTGGAATCTTGCATTGGCAAGTATGATACAAAGCATTACGATTTGCTCATGCAAACAACCCGAGAGGTTTTTAATTTAAAAATTAAATAAGTAAAGTGCATATATGATACAAGCACCGTTTCAAGCCTTAATAGTTTCTTCTCAGTAGACTTTAAGTGTCACTATATGTCTCACACTAGTGTCCAGTGACAAGCTGTTTATACATTTAGGCATTGTTCTCTTCATCTTATTCTTGTTAACATCATAACAGACCAGAAAAATTTAGACTAGATTAGACAATATATTAAGGACAATGGATTCAAACCATAAAAATAAATCAGACCAGACTAAAATTCAGATCAAAAATGAGGTGAAGAGAATAACTCCTAATACACCCTGTATTAGAAATAATCAATAGGCAATAGCCTCAAGTATCTCTGATCTAATAAGGTGAAGAGAATAACTCCTAATACACCCTGTATTAGAAATAATAAATAGGCTATAGCCTCAAGTATCTCTGATCTAATAATAATCCTAGATGTGTGTTATTCTAGAATAATCCCAACTATATAATTCACCTTCCCAAAATGATCCAGTGTGAGTTGGAAGTTGCAACCCAAACTCCCAAAGCATGTAATAATTCTTGCATTCTCTCTTCCCTCCTGCCCAACCCCTCCCCAACTCACTTTCTCATACAATCACAGATAAGGTTAAAAAGGCCCTGTGCTTATCGTTTCTTTTTCCTTTTTTCTTTTTTCTTTTTTCTTTTTTTTTTTTTTTGTTTTTTTTTTAATCCTTCTACCTTTTCTTCTCATTCCATCACCAAAGCAATGTTACAATGACCATTTCATGTGCCTAAATGTCTACCGACCACAAAACTACAGCTAAGTTCATTCGCCCTTGTAATTTTAAATTTACAATGCACCTATGAAGAACAAAGCTCTAGCAGTCTTCACTTTGCTAAACTTCCCACCACTGCCATAAGCCTATAACCCAAATCCCATTGCTGTTACCTAAAATCATATGAAATTGAGCCAACTCTCAACAAACTTCATGTATCCAATTTCACCCAAAATTCAACCAAATTTCCTTCCCGAGCAACTTTACTCATCGCATTTTGTAAATAAATTCCAACCTTTCTCTCAGTCTCCGCTCCCCTTCCCTTACAAAGCTTTTTAAGTCTGGCAGGCTTCTAAGACTACTTATAGGCCTATCAATTTGCAGAAATCTTAGTATATATAAGCAGAAATAGATCAGTTTTACTAAATTGAAGGAGGCACCCTCCCAAGGACAGGTGATTGCAGATAGCAGAGAGAAGGGATGGTGGAGTGGGCAGTGGGGGTATCAGGGTGGTTGCCAGTGTCGCTGTCAAAGAGGGAAAGGCCAATCAGAGCTTCGAAAAATACCACTAAACATGCTTAATCGCTTTCTATATAAAATTATTTTGGATTACATAATTTGAATTATTGTGGGAGCACCCTACATAATTGGAAACATTCCTTAAAATTTTCATATTTATTACCAAAGATAGGGTTTAAATATTCCCCTTCAAGTGTGATCTTCATTTGTTAAAAGATCCTCAAAATTTTGGGGAAATTGAAAAATAAAGTGCCATAATAATAATAATAATAATAATAATAATAATACCAGGAAAAATTCAGACATGTATGACAAGCTCACTCACTACAAATTCACAATCCAATATAATAAAAATAAATAAATAAAAAATAAATTATAATTATATATCAAGTATTGCCAGAAGACAAACCTCAGGTCCAACCATATCAATGATCTGACATAATATATCTTCAAAAAGCACGGGTTCTTGAGCCATGCACTCCATTCGATGTAACTGCTCTTCATAAAAAAATTGCATTTCGTTCCTTGTGATGATGCCATTTCCATCGAGGTCTATGCATTTAAACCTGTCAATGGGAAAAACTCAGAAACCCAGAGAAGAAAGACAATACTTAGATCCAGGAAGTAAAAAATAAATAAAATAAATAAATAAATAAATAAATAAATAAATAAAACTAATATCTACCATCACTATTTCATGTAACGTTCTTTTTTACAGAAAATGAGTTCCTGATTGATGATATCTCTCAGAATCCAAAACTAAACAACTGCCCCCTCCCCCAAGTTTTTTCCCACATCAACCTTTGTGAGCATTGGAACCCCAACTCCAAACCACTGGAATAGAATATAAAGGTGCTAACCAATACTCGACTTGAACTTCTTCCAAACCCATAGGTCATAAATTGAAGGCACCAGAAATTCTGCCAACCCAAACTGTAAAAGATGCATGAAAAATATGTTTGACTAGACATACCAATATTCAAGACTGGGTTCTGAAGATTTATCTTCCTCTGCCAATATGAAATAAACAAAATCTTCATATCCCATCTTGCCATCAACAGTACTAGTGAACTTTCTGGGAACCTGGTAGAAGATCACACAAGGAGTTAGTTCGTAAAAGTGTAAACAGGTAAAAGCCTTCTCTGGGAAAAGGTTTTGTACACAGAGAACAAAGAACTACTGAGACATTTTACCTGGGAAAATATTCTATCAACAATCCTGTAAGTAAGTGCATGGTTCCCATATCTGATAAGGTTCTCTTTATCAATGAAGAAATCATGATCTGTGTCCAACTCCCAAAACTTGCAATATATCACATAGAAGTGCTCATAGGAGAAATACCTACATTGCAATAGTTAGAAAGTGCAGAAAAGAGAAAGTTCCCTAACTGGAACATACGATGAGAGCTCAATAAGGGTTACAAACTACATTGGAATGGGAAGTTTAAAAACCCAACAGTAATGACAAAATATGATCAAACAAGTCACCTAAAGATAACCACACGTTTCCCTTCCCCCACCACCAACAAGAAAATGAAAAAAATAATTATGACAACCCATATCTTTCAAACTATAAATTGCATAGAAACTAAAATGAGGTCTTTAGATTCTATATATTAATTGCTGCTGTTTCAACAGAACAAAGAACCCAAAAAAACAAGGACTGTCAGAAGCATATCAAATGGTGAGTCTATGAGAACTATAATGTCTTAAGGACATACAAATACTAGAATATCCCAAAATAAGCCATGATCTAGAAAATAAGTTAAAACCTTCTACAG